TGAACAAAACCTGCGTTATTTTAGGGTTTACACATGTGTACCAAATTTCAAATCGATCCGTCCGTAAATAACCGAGATAAAATTTACCCCAGACGCTCCCCTTATTTAAGCTCAATTGTTTTCATTACTCGGGACTGAAATATTTCTTCACGTTTCCACTAAACTGAATTCGAATGAATACTAGTTGAAAGTTTAGTACTTGGAAAGTACGTATAGTCGTAAGTCTAGTATCTAAATAAGTACGTCTAGTCGAGGACTAGTTCTCTATGAAATGCTTATGGAATATAGTAGCTTTTCCATTTTGAGCATTCAATAGCACTCGTAGAAAACTTTCTGTGCATTGAACTGTAGAATCCTTTCCATGCATGCAATTCTTAAACCCTTTCAAGCACCCAATTGTAGTACTCTTCTTATGATCTAATTCTTTCATGCTAGCTAAGCGAACCGACAATGTGTACTACCACGTGGGGGTTCACCGCTACAACTTCAGATGGATTTGGCGCACCGGCCAAGTCATGTTCGGCCAGAAAGGCTCGGAAGTGTGGTCATCAGGCGACCCCGGGGACAACTCGAACTGTGCAGTCATTATCATGTCTACGTGGATCAAGATTAGCCTGGTAGACGTGGGGTGTTCCTCTACTGGATGGTACGTGTGTGCACTGCAGTGATGACGCGCACAGTGGTCAGGTACATTGGGCTAGCAATGCGTTGTACCTAAGAAGGTATCAGCTGATTCGGTGCTGCAGTACAACAGCAGGTACAATAAATCGTTAACGAGAGCAGTAGCAGCACCCAAATGGTGCATATAATAATGCTCCTGTAGTTAGAACAATTGTACAGTAATTTCGGGAACGACTCGGATAACGATATTGTTGTACTGGTAGGCACGACACTGCAACCGCAATACTGCACTGTTGTGACTGCAGTAGTCACAACAGTGCAGTGAAAGATGGCATTGCTAAATAAAGAGGGAAAAAAATAAACAGTTTCAACGTGTAGAGTACAAAATTTTCTTTCGAAAAAATTGAACCACGGTATAAAAAATATCTTTCGCGGCATGGAGATCAGAAATTATATGATATAATATGGGCAAAACTCTTGAGGCGATGAGATTGTTCTGAGTATAAAGAGATTTCTGCCGTACTACATCAGTCATTGCCGCTGCAGGAGGACAAAGCCAGGCCTGGTCCAATATATGTGGCAGTAATGCCTGATACAACGGTGCTCTAACGACAGGTGCACTGTTACATTAACTGCAGATAAGAGTAGTAGTAATGTCGGGTAACATGATGCAGCAGATGAAGATGCAATTGTACTGTCATGGCAGATTCCGCAGAGCAAGACCAAAACATACAGTGATGTCGATTACGTTGAAGCGGTAACTTGTAAGGCAGATTACGAATATCGTATGAAAGGTTCTATGTTTTACGTTACGAGCATGATGGTAGGAGAAACTCAGCGAGATAGATAACGTATCCAGTTAAAAATAAAGAATACTGACAAATGGAAATTGACAGTAACGGAAATTATCGAGAAACAGGAAGTTCTGGTAACGAGTGAAGGAAATGACATAGTGGTGCTGAAATAACACGTACTATGAGACTGAGAGATGGATAACAATGTCAGATATAAGGTGGGGGAATGTCAGATACAGTGAATTTGTTAGCTCATGGCTTCTTGGTTCAATAAATTATATCATTTTCTTTGAAGTATTAATTGCAGGGAGGCAATAGATGAAGGTAGGATTCATGGAACTACTAGGATTCTTCCTGACTTAAATCGACACCACGTGCACAATTACAGCCTGACGCAAAAGGTTAGCCCCACCCCTTTAAAACATCATAACACATCGAGTTTTGCCAGTTTTAACGTGCAAATGGTGGCAAACGATTTGTCTTGCGCTCTGCAATCTATAGCAGGTAAAATTTGGTGAAGAAGTTAATTACTTGCGGAAAAATCAAGCGGTTCGTGTTTTTGCACCGACGCAGAAGGTTAGCCCCACTTTGCAAGTTTGGCGCTCTTTCGGACAGGACGCAGCGTAGACTCGCTGCAAAGGGTGCGTTCATAGCGTAGTAGTTGTGCACGGATCTTATGCTCACCTAGGCAAGAAATGGGCGCGGGAAAGCTTCTAACCGAGTTTCAGAAAGATGCCATTCAAGCACTGATGGCGCTACCTGAGGGCGAGGGCCCTAGCCTGCGTCAAATGGAGGCACAAGTGGGGTGTAGCCGCAAAGCCATCTCCAACTATCTCAAGGACCCCGTGAACTACGGAAAGCGGCACTCCAAAGGCCGCCCACTAACCTTTTGCGTCGGTGCAAAAACATGTGTTTTTCATTTTCTCCGTTACTAATTACATTTTCACTACAGTCTATTGTATTTTGATTACTGAGACCAAGACGATTCGTTTGCCACCATTTGCACAATAAAACTCGCAAAACTCGATGTGTTATGATGTTTTAAATGGGTGGGGCTAACCCTTTGCGTCGGGCTGTAGTAGAGGGTTAAAAAATATCAGCCACAGGACTGTACGAGGAACCCGCAGACTTCGGGTTCCGGTTCCAGCGACAGTAAACTCGGGGTTTACGGTCCGGTGCCATGCAGACTTTGGGCTGATATTTCGGTGACAGCAGACTTTGGATTAACTTACTTGAGAAAGCAGACTCTTGGTTACGATCCGGTGACAGCAGGCTTTGGGTTGAACTTACATTCAGGTTACAAAGTTCAGACATTGTAGGGATTTGATTGCTAGCAATGTCCTTGTCCCAGGCCGAGTAGTTGCGATCACTACAACTTTTATATCCTAACCGCTTGCTCTAATTAACATGCTACTGGCCTCGCGTGTAGCTGTATTAGGATATACCGGTGTTTACAGCGTGTATGCACAAGACCAGCAGGTTGATAATAATATATTTGGCTTCATTTGCCGCAACTACTGGCCACGTGTACGAAGGCCTTTTTTCATGAGTGTTGTCTTATATTCAGAGTAGAAATAGTTACTCTGGGTAGACTTTTCAGCATTAGTGTGTTTGCATCATAAGTTTTTCAAATTATATCATCTGCCTCTCACTGTACTGCAATCTACGAGACATGAAAGTTTTCATTTTTATTATATATCTACCGATGTTTTACTATTTTTGTTAGATAGAAGTAGTGAGCACTATTTAACGCGGTTAAATTTTATATTACAAAATTAATTGGTATCCAGTAGGATTAATTGTATGTTTTTGACGTCGCTGCCAGGAAGGCAACTACGGCGAGAAATCTCAGAACATTTCTGTAAAATTGTACAAATAAAAATTCACTTCAAACTTGTTTCTTCCTATTTAAGTACTGACGATAATTACGCAAAAATGTAATGAAAATAAGTTATACATTGAATGAAAAAGGGCGTCTTCTTAGCGGAACTCAACTGATTAGAATCGGATACATGAAATTACGGTGGAAGAGGATTACAAATTATATGTTATGAATGCCCCGGTTGCTGTGGAATAGGCGACGAAACTGGAAATAGCATCGTAAAGAATTAGGCATATTTTCGAATATTTGTTGTTTTGTGTTGAGGTCCAGCACAAGTTACTTGCAATTCGAGTTATCGAGTAACCTATAGTTCAGTTAATTTTTTTAGTGTAATACCTGGTCAATTGTCTATTGCTCAATGTAACTGTTAGTCTAGTCTCAGGAAATCCTATAGCAGCCTTGCAGCGTCACTTCAATTATACCTCTTAAATTGACTATTTTTAGCTCATAGCACGAGAAGCCTCATTGATAGGCATAAAAGAAAGAATCACTTGAACCAATATGCTAATAATTTTATTAATTTACTTCTAGAATTTGTTTGATTCGATGAGATAGATTTCGAGAATCCATATCCCGTGCTTCATTGAAGCCTGTCTGTAAAAATTACGCACATATAAGCGAGAACGGCCTTCGATCATGTTGAGCGTCACAAGTCATCTCAAGAAGTTTCCGATTTTAAGATTGGGCCGAGCCTACGCTTTCACCTATTCTTGATATCGCATAATTTCCATGGTCAGGTGGAGCTCACACCCACAATTTACTGCTCTGGTATTGCTACTCCTAACCAATAGACTTTCTCACTCGTGTTGACCAAAAATTTTTTGTCTGTCTAACGTTGTGCCCCACATACGGCCTCCGCCATTATTGTGGCCCATTTCTCCTCATACAAAACTGAGTCCTCTTAACTACAACGTTTTTTTTTTTTAAATTTAATCATCAATTACATATTACTCTTATATTCTCGAACACGAATAAATTCTGAGTTACTATTTAAATTTCAAACTAAAACCTTTACTGTTAGATGTAATATAATACTCAAATTATATGTTTTTGTGACCCTTTGAGTGGACCCTTTTAATTATCCCTTATTTATTGGGCTTATTAGGTGTTACAAGACAGGTTATTCACAAGATAGGTGTTTATAAAAAGATGTTGAGAATGAAGGCGATGTGACAGGTTGTGACTGCATGTGATATAATGCGATGATAGACGCGTGTTCGTGCCATTACAGGAAGCCGATTCATATTCATTTTGGTTCATTAACGCAATACGGGATGAATATATTGAAAGGATATTGTTTCTGAAGCGCATTGAAAATGAAAAAAATTACAATGCAAAGTAAATGAATGCATTAGACAATCATTAATGATTTTATTGATGTTGAGAATAATAGCAGCCAAGTGAGACGAGCTTACAGTTTGTTATGTTATATTATATTAATGCTCATTATACTCGTATATAGTACGCTTATGAATAGTAACGCTACAAAACTTTTCCAAGTAAAATAGACCTAAACATCTTATTATCGATCTGTTCCACGCGTCATCGTAGTCGAAGTTTCTTGAGTTCCTAGATACAGGATAAATGACAAACAGATGGACTTCAGCAGTCATTTTTGGACATCAAAAAGTTACATCAATTGCATCGTAAAAATGAAAACAGCTGACGATTTTTCACACAATTTTTTATTGAACGAATGTGCCTCGGTGAGGTCTTAGGTTCCATCAATGCCAGCACTCCTGACCTGGCGCCATGTCCCTGGTGACGTCACGGTGGTGGAGTCGTAGGAGGCTCGTTGCAAATGATGAGACGCCTTTTCTTGTTATGCCTGTGGATAAGCAATTGGAATGACTGCGGCAGTGTGGTGAACCGCAACACCAAAGTAATGTATTAAAACTTAGTTCTTGATGTTTTTCATATTTAAATTTAAGCTACATAAATTTTTGTTGGCTTAGTGACGTACTTAATAAATCTTTAAACTGCGATTTATTCCTTCAATATGCGGAATTTCAAATTCATTGAGATAAAATGCAGAATTAAAATATATTGATATGCATAATTCAAATCCATTGAATAAATATATATTGAATGTTACATACATTCTCGTAATGGAATAAGAAATTAGAAACTAGAATCATATTTCAATGCATTCCCGATAACAGGTTAAAACTCGGTTCTTGAGGTCTCATAGCAAGTATATCCTAGAAAAACAATTAATATTACAATAATGTCTCCATGCCTTCATCATATATAGTGACTCATTTGTGCAAACTCCATTCACTTCATCCATGTGGGTAATTTCTGCGAAACGCGATCTTAAACAGAACAATGCAGCAATTAGAAACAGAGGATAACCCAAGTGCAACTCTTACTGAAGGAGAGCAACTCCTCACCCCTCGCAGCGCGCGTGGTCCCCGCATGGCTGGTTCATTTCCCCCCAAAAGACCCACACTAGCCCCTATATCCTCACCCCTCGCAGCGCGTGGTCCCCGCGTTGTTGGTCCTGATTCCTGCCTCGTGCAGCAGCGTCAGCAGCCGCCGCTCCTCCTCTTCGCTCAGCTCCGGGTAATGCAAGGCGATGTCGGAGTACCTGCACTCACGGAAATAAGTTAAACTTTGTCCAAATAACAACGCATTTTTTTCTTCGTGTTGGTCATCTTGACCCAGTTTGGCCCTGTAAAAAGGTGTATCAACGCTATGTCCTGGCTGTTGGTGCCGTGGGTAGAAAATATATCGTTATATTGGGACAATATGGCACATCCATTTTGCTCAGTGTGATATACCATATAACAGTAATAAACATTAGATGGCAGGTAGAGCAATGCTAGAGAGGCACATGCAAACCACATCAACGGCATCTTTTGCTGACAATGTGACGGCACACATGAAAATTGATCAGGTGTTTTCTCGAAGTATAAGTTACAAAAAAAAAAAGAAATAATAAAAAATCTGGCGAAAAAATTAGAAAATAGAAATCAAGTGAGAAGGAATTCATATAACTCAATCTCGAGTTGCCTTTTACTCTTTTGTTCACGCGCAATCATTAGTTCATTTATCAGGATCATAAATTATTTCGATGAACCGCGGTAAATCAAGTTGAGCGCAGTCACATCATACGAAGAGTTTTTTCATGGCAGTTAGTTTTAAAATAATGCTAAATTATACTATTTTAATAGTAATACTAAATTTCATGGCAGTTGATCGATGATCAGCTACACAACTAACCACTTGCTGGAGGGAGCGTAAGCGAGCACCGTCTGGGCCACGGCCTCCACGCTCCCAGCCGCAGCCCCCAGCACCGTCAGATGGGGAGAAGGAAGATCTGGGAGCGGCACAGCTAGCATTGCGGTGCTCGTCAAGGGCACGTAGATCCCTATGGGGGAATACACTGCTGTTAGGCACCATGCACTCAGAGAAACAAGTAAGACTGTGCCCATTTACTCTTTACTCATGCATATTTAGAGTACTTTTACTTGAGGTTGATTCGCGTCTACAGACTACGAAAACGAGGTGCATTCAAGTTAAAACGCCTTCGATGTTTTTTTTTCTTGATTGGAATTAGATTGGAACATGCCATTTATTTTAAAATGAGCGGGCACACTTTACCAATGCGTGCTACAGATGTCAGCTTTCCACAGCAAGGAAAGCCTCTAGAGGAAGCAACAAGCGCTTGGGTTATTATCGGAACTTCAAATTGGTGACGTTTTCGTTAGTATACGTCCAGCGTGTAATCATTCGTTTTCTGCATTTGTGCGATGAGACATCAATTTAATTTCATCGCCAGATGATTGAGACATGCGGTGATGTTGTCTTGGATGTGTTGAATGTGCTTGCACGGGTGCGGCGATTCAAAAGAAGGTAGCACGTGTCCTCTTCCACGATACAACTCATCTGCGCGTTAGGCTAACTTGACGGAACAGTTTCTACGTGCAAGCAGCTTTGAAGTGGTTCCCAAGAGACCTGACCTGAAGTGGTTCCCAAGAGACCTCAAGAGACCTGAGTAATAGCGAATTTTCGCTGTTACATCTTCATCGCTGTTTTACTGAACATCTAAAAAGCATACGCGGCAAACAATGTAATCTCTAGGAATATTTTCTATCTAGAAATCAGGTAAAATTGAAAAATTTGAACTCGCTTGAATAGTTTGCTTAGATAACGAATAATAATTTCCTGACAAGTAAGCAGAACAAGTTACTGAGTACCTCGGATGTAAACAACTCTTGGAAGGGTTTCTCTCAGTTGCTGTTTCATTACAACAGAAAGAAATTCTCCTTTCGCAAATCACTTGACTATAAATTGTTGCTAATTCTTCCGGGAACTTCCACGGGAAATTTGCTCTCTTGTTGCGGGAAATTACTTCCTCTTGAACCAGAATTTGTTTTCAGGAGGCACGGGACGAGATTTTTCGCTCTTAATTAAATAAGTGGTTATATAATCGTATGTTTCGCTGTAAAAGCAGCCTAAACAATGTTTTATAAATGAACTCATAAAATTTAATTTCAGAGCAGCCGATAATATACTTAGAAGGTAAATATGTAGCATTATTATAATCGAAATGATAGGAATATCGCAAACGTCCAGCAGCAAACACTTACGCAGGTATCGACATTTGCGTGGCAGAGGTCTGAGGTCAAGCGGAGCCTCAAGGCGGATGTGCAGATATTCTGCAGCAGAGGCTATTTGTGCCAGAGCTGTGATGCCAGTAAATGTTCTGATGCAACCTTTGAAGCCCTTGATCCTTGGCCTGTAGGATAATAGTTTAGAGTTACATTTATATCATAAACCAGATAAATTCGAAACTCAAAGTTGAACCTTACTTCGGTGAGGCTCGGAGATGAGCGGAGCGCGGAGCAAGATTTTTCAGAGAATTCTTTAGTAACGAGTTTGTTCTAATCTTCTTCAGATAGTTAGACGCCCAGAGTAACTGATTTGAAATGAAATTTTCAATGCTTTAAACACGAATAAACTAGGATCCATGGTTATTTATTTATAATTTCTATCAATTTCCGTTATTTACACACAATCGTTTCGATTTATCATAGGAAATTTTGCAGCGAACGTCAGTTCTTCTAGTATTCGCACACATTCTTTCCCACCCCAGGACAGGAACTCTGCGCCGGCCCTAGCAGACTTCCATTCACTCTGTAAAGACGCTTTCAGTGATTCGTGGCTAAATCGGTTCCGCTCAATTGCTTCATGAACGATGCATTTTCACATTTATCCACGCAAATTTTATGTCACAATCGTCCGACAGGAATTCATGGAGAATGCGTTGAAGTCTAGCAGCAAAGCCGGTTCGTAAAATCCAGGGCACAAGGTAATCATTTATCCCACCTGCCATATGTACTGTGTACATTATGTTGATTACTTCATTCACAAAAAAACACTCTCAGCTGCGATAGAATTTCCCGGTTACCTCAGGTCTGGGAGATCACATTCTATTCGTGCAATCGACCGCTTAAGGATCAATGAATTAGACATTAAAATCAAATCAATACTTACCCGTATAAATCAATTACTTACTCGCGAGCAAAAAACAATAATCAAGTTTAATATTTCAGAATTTACAGTCCAATTCTGTTTTACAATTTTCAATTTTTTTAAATTACAATGTTCTTGGAGAATCTCTAAAAATTGCTTGATAGTAAAATCTTTTGGTTTTGAAAATTCAGCACAAGAAGCAATCAAGATAAAAAACGATCACGAAGAGTGCATAATAACATCTCCGCAATGGTCAATTATATTATCATTACACGTTGTTCAGACTTCAGAAGTGTAACCGTGCTTTAAATATAATTTAGTTATATGTCTAATTCCAGATAACTGAAAATGAAAGGATAATGAACGAAAATTTTGCCCTCTGTGTAACTACAGGCATAAACAAGATCGGCGTTACGACTCACTTAGAGCCGAGCAGGGACTCAAGAACATCATCGCAAGGTTGGAATCCAGTTTCCCAGTCCAGCAGATTGAGGCGCAAGTCTCCTCTGTGGAGTTGGACAATCTTATGCCACCCGGCCGTCCTCAGGACCTGCGGGGACGCCTCCACCGCCAGGGTGGTGCATGGGGCGTGAGGGAGCATCATTGCCACGCCATCAAGATCACACTCTGCAAATGTTAGTCAAATATTATTTAAAGTTTAAATTGAGTTTTGATTAATAAGCTGGCTAAACAACTTATGTAACATCTTCGCTTCTGGCCAATGAACATGACAAAAATTTTCACTCACTATTCGCTTTATAGGCTAAAAGACGAGATAAAATAACTCAGCCTCACAAACAAGCTCACCGTTTGTCCACAAGCCCACCCAGTTCAACAGTCGGTTTTCAGTTGAAAATACGAAGACAAAATATAATTGCGAGCTCATGAATCTCTCATGAAAGTTATACCTATTTTCACAGTGAAAATAGCGGTGTGTCATCCACCATTTTCCTTTTAATATTAACTTTTTGATAAATTATCTTTCTTTAACTTCAGTTAGGAAGTATGGAGGACGGTTGAGTACTGAAGACATTCATAAAGTCTTCAGCATTCGTAAGCATTTATTTGCCTTGGATATGATATGAATAAGAAGAAGGGTTGAGTACGGAACAGCACAGTGATGCTATCAGACGTTATCTCGATAAAAGAAATAATATACGTTTAAAAATTACTTTTTAAAGACAACACTTCTAAAGAATCCAGTGTTTCCAATGGTACAGATGTACAATGAACTTCTAATTTTATTTTCGAATTTAAAAAAAAATAATTTTTTAATATATAAAATTTTTTTCAAAATTATTTATTCTGTCAATTGATTCATGCATTGCCTCCAACTTCACACAATTGTGCAAAATTTCATATCAATTGGACAGGTAAAAGTGTGTCAAATATCAATCATATGATTTGTAGCTGACAAAATTATTTTTTCAGGTTTTTTAATATTGAAAAAAAAAATTGTATTCATAAAATTATTTATTTTGTCAATTGTTTCATGCATTGTCTCCAACTTTGCAAGTTTGCAAAATTTCGGATCGATAGAATAAGTAGAAGTGTGTTAAATTTCGATTACAAGATTTGTAGCAGACAAACAAACAAACAAACAACAAGAAGTGAAGTTAAAGAGAAGTGTTGTAAAAAAATGTAAAATTTTTCAAAATTATTTATTCTGTCAATTAATACATGCATTGTCTTCAACTTTACGCAAGTGTGTAAAATTTCAGATTGATTGGATAGGTAAAAGTGTGTTAATAATGTTTATATGTTAAATAGCAAACAAATTTTTTTTTACTTTTTTAATATCAGAAATAAAAATTTTTAAATTTTCAAAATTATTTATTCTGTCAATTGAATTATGCATTGTCTCCAACTTTAGACAAGTGTGCAAAATTTCAGATTGATTGGAGATGTAGAAGTGTGTTAAATATTGATTATAAGATTTGTAGCAGACAGACAAACAAACAAATAAACAAGTGAAGTTAAAGAGAAGTGTTGTAAAAAGACCCGGTACATCGTTAACCGACCAAACCTAAACTTACAATGCGAACGAACGGGAACGTTATCTTGCTCCTCTTACCCCATACGACACCGTATACGACTATGAGAAAGATATGTAAGATTTTCTAAACAAAGAGTTACTACACTAAAAATGAATTATTATCTCCCAACACAATGAAGTTGTTTGCTATGCGGACATACGGAGTAAAGATATTTTGGCGAAACAGAACGATGATCAATCGACGTATAAGAGTTTGTTCATGAATTATGCCCTGTAAAAAATGCGAGATGTAAGTTATGTAAGTTGAAAGGGTGATGAAACACTTGGCACAACAAAGAAAATAATAATGGAACATATAAGCAACGACTACACACAGGGGAAATGTAAGTAGAACTCGAACAAGATTGAAACATTTGGTATGAGGAGACGGAATAAATAAGTAATGAGGGGTATCGTGTATTAGAACAAAATAGAGGATTCGGCGCTGAAGAAATAGGCCCATGGCCTGTTGCCGATTCATGTACTTTTCGTGATTTGATTCACAAAAGATCCGGCCTTTGGAACCCGATCTTTCCTTAACTGACGATTGATTGAGATAGCTGCTGGACTTATTGCCTGGTCCGAAAGTTGCATTTAAAAAAAAAAGGCATTTTAAAACTGAACATATGCTCCTGCATAGCTTCATCTAGTCTGTTCTTGAAGGCGTTCATACTCGGAGCGTCAACGATGCTATCAGGGAGGATGTTCAACATGTCGGTGACTCGAAGCGAGAAGAAATGTTGTCGCATGGATGTGTTATTCCTTGATACATGACATATACACAAGTAAAGAAGATATATACTGAAGCATATACCATTTGCAAACGAAACTCACCGCTCTTTATCATGAACTTCCCGTCTTCCTTGAGACTGCATTGTGCAGCTTTGTTGGCAACCGTCACTTCCAGTGGGCGGCACTGAGTCGCGTCCCGCCAGTCTCGGGCTGTGGCCCGCGGTGGGCAGCAGTGCATTGCGTCCCGCCAGTCCCGCGCTGTGGCCCGCGGTTGGCGGTAGTGCATTGCGTCCCGCCAGTCCCGCGCTGTGGCCCCCGCGTCCCGCATCCTGTGTTGTAGTTGTGGCCACTGAGCACTGACGTTACTGCCGTTGTTGGACTGAAGCTTAGCGATGACTTGACTGACGGCTCTCGCAGTCCTGCATGAGAATATTTTTAGCCTGGGTCACATAGGCAATGTTTTTTACTAATATAATTAATACTCTTTGAAATCGTAAGCTCAAGCAGAAATTTATTATTCAATGGACAAAATTTTGCGATCCAAAGATATCATGATCGTTTAAAAACTGACAACGGGATTCTCGGTGTTGTTTGGCGCAGAACAATCATGCAGTGGGGGAAATAAATATTCGTACACTTGAAAAATTGTATTTTAATGTATGTAAGTACACAAACTTAACAGGAAAAGTGATTTAAATTATGTATAGAGGCGCATAGTATTCAAAAATACTATCAAAAGAAATTAAATCTCAATGCAACAAAAAACAATGCAACA